CCACACACATGCAATATGTTTTTGACATTTAAGACTTATAGTCTTAATTGCAGACTAAAGGTTTGTTAACTACTTAAAGCACATTTAAAAGGAATGTGTTTGTAAAAACATAAAATAAGATTTCATCAGATTGCAGGACTCCTATATGCTGCTTTATTGTCCAAGGTATCAGTTGTATGAGCCGTTTTATCAGGCAGAGATAAGATTTAGGAGGACCATATCACACATAAGCACTGTGACATGAATGTTATGCACATATGCAAACACACAGGCGGACACAGAAACACAGATTTGTACGTCTGGTCGCTGTGCTTTCACACAAAACAAATATTTGAGAGGCACTGTTCATCTTGTGTCAGAGAGGGTAATGAAATGCATCTCATCAGTAAAATGCAGCAGGGAATATCAAAGGGGTTCGTTTGTTTGAAACCTTTTTCTTTCCCTTCTGTGTTTCAACACTGCCTCTCTGTGGTGGAATATTTCGTTGTGAGAAAGATTGAGAAACTGAGAAAAGCTGATTAGTGTTACAAACACTAAAATCCAAGAAAAAAATGCAGTGACATGTACACGTAGCTATCAAGTGACACAGTTGTTCAGCTTTATCTTACATTGGATATTTGGGATTTTTTATATATTTAATTCTTGTTATTTACGTCGTGCACAGTATTAGAGGGGGCAATGCAGCACTTCACTGCACAGTCGAGGGAAATGTTAAGGGATGTGACCAATAGTGTCGTTGTAAAGAGAATACATTTTAGGTGGACAAAACAAGCACTATAAAAATACAATCTTGGGGAAATTGTGAACGTTTCGTGACATTTTATAGACCGAAACAATTATTAAAAGAACTGGCTGGATTCTACTTTTTCTCTCCTCTTGCTTTATCAGTTGTAGTTCTGAGTCTCTCGGAGCGACGATGGCAGAGAGCTCGCACTGTTTCTACTGTCGGGAGGACCTCGGGGGAAAGAGATTCGTCCGCAACGAAGGCAAGCCGGTGTGCGTCCGCTGCCACACCAAGTTCTGTGCCAACTCCTGCGCCGAGTGCCACCGACCCATCCCTGTGGAATCAAAGGTGCGTGTTAGCAGTTTGCAATTTCTATGCATTTCTTCAAAGGGTCGGTCCACTGCGACAGTTTTGCCTCTTCATTTTCCCTCCACATGCCTCTCATCAAACTCTCCCCTGTTCCTTCCGCCATCAGGAGCTCAGCCATAAGGGCCGGTACTGGCATGAAGAGTGTTTCCGTTGTTCAAAGTGTTACAAGCCTCTGGCCAAGCAGCCCTTCAGCACCAAGGACGACCGCATCATGTGCGGAAAATGCTGCTCCAGAGAGGATGCTCCACGCTGTCATGGCTGCTATAAACCCATACTGGCTGGTAAGACAAGCAACTTCATACCCAGATTTTGACATAGTTGAACTCATTTAAGTGATTAAATTACCATTGAAAAAACTTTCTCCAGGAAGAGCATTTAAAACAGATGCAATACAAAATAACTGAACTTTACATACAATTATTGGAGCGGAGGTACAGTCCTGTTCATCATAAAGTCATCATCCAGCCACTGTCATAGTTGACTCACTTAAACAGTGAAATGTTTAGAATTTCAAATATAAAGCTTTACTCTTGATTGTTAATGTTGACTTCATTACCCGTGTCTCTGCCCTAATATCTCCCCATCCGTCATCTTCCGCAGGCACAGAGAGTGTTGAGTACAAAGGCAACTCGTGGCACGATGAGTGTTTCACCTGTTGCAGCTGTAAACGGCCACTAGCATCGGAGAGTTTCCTCTCCAAAGGAAACGATTCTTACTGCAACCCCTGCTACGACAGAAAGTTTGCCAAACACTGCGTCAGCTGCAAGAAGGTTTGTTTTTTTCTTTTCAAACAGGGACCAGACAAACCTTCCTCATTCCTTCTAAAAGCATAAGTGAATATAAACCCACTGAAAGGGGGATGACCATTTCAGGGTTGTAATTTTTAACTAGAGACTAGAAAGTAAGATAAAGTGAGGTTAAAATATGATGGTAGGAATATTACAAACCAACATTTCTTTTACAATCCCTAATTCTTGTGTTGAATTGAAAACACTTTGTCAAAACCGTATTAATGCTAATGATGTTATATGGTAATTCTACCGTTAACACACTTCGCTCTTCTCTTCCATCTGTCTCCAGCCCATAACCTCTGGAGGAGTGAACTACCAAGCTCAGCCATGGCACAGCCACTGTTTTGTGTGCAGCTCCTGCTCAAAGCCTCTGGCAGGGTCGAGTTTCACCAACCACCAGGATCAGGTCTTCTGTGTCGACTGCTACAAGAGCTCTGTGGCAAAGAAATGCAGCGGCTGCCAAAACCCCATCACAGGTTACAGACAAATGCTAAAATCTGCACATATCTTCCCCTCCAGTCATATTTAAAGGATATTTTATGCCAGTCAGAAGTACGAATGTAACCAAAGATGTTACAGGAAAGGCATCCACACACTCTAATACGTGCAATCTTCATTTATTAAGGCAAGCTTGTTGTAAGGACCCGTCATCACAGATGTTTTGTGTGGTCACGTTCCAGTGGCACGAGTGTTTTGCACTAAGACTTAACAAGTGATGGTTATTAGAGTCAGACTGATATGGGATTTTTGAGACCAATACTGATATTGATTTTAGAGGGGAAAAATTCACAGGTTATTGATATGGTGGCCGATACAGTGAACTTTAGAGCTGGAATGAAAGTAGACCAATTCAGGACCAAATATTATAATATATATAATATCTACGATATAAATAACACTATTTACATGTCAGAAAGTCGTCATTACTATGTGATGACATGAAAGCAGCATTAAGCTGTGACTCCACCCGAAATGAGACAGTCCATCCTCATAGAAACTAAAACATGTACATGAAGTATTAAAACTGTACTATAAACTGGGTCAACTTTAATAACGGTTTGAGTTTATAGTATAATTGTGACTTCAAAATCATGATTGTACCAGATTAACTATAAATATAGATGTAGGTGTTCATTTATTTAACATATCTAGGCTGCTAACAAACATTGACAACCACCTCAATGCAAAAAACCTGATCAAAAGGATGTGGTCACATGATATTTTCTGACCTCACAAGTTTGGCACAATCCGTGACCGAAATGTCAATAAAAGGGAAGGGACGCCTGAACAGAAATACCCAGCCACTGAATGTGTGTTGATGCTTTTCCTACTTTTACAGGATAAAAACAGAAATCCAAGCATTTCAGCAGGATTTCTAGGTGAGAGTGGTGAAGACGTTTACTACTACTGAGGCAGTAGCTGAAGTAAAGAAAGGTGGTGGAGGGAAAAAAGTGACAGATGACTAACTCTCCTCTCCTCTCTCAGGTTTTGGTAAAGGAGTGAACGTGGTGAACTACGAGGGCAGCTCCTGGCATGAATACTGCTTCAACTGTAAGAAATGCTCCCTCAGTCTGACCAACAAGCGTTTCGTAGCCAAGGGGAACGACATCCTCTGCGCCGACTGTGGCAACAAGTAGAGATGGAGAACCTGATCAGCGGTTCATATAGTCATCATGTTTTTGTTTTTCTTCTTACTTAAAGGCCAGTCTCCATTTCAATTATCAGTTTGATATTTGTTGAGTTTTTGGGAAATTACCCACAACGTGATGAAACATTGGGACCAAAATGTAATGTGTGTCCACTGTTGATTGTTTGTTCTGATGCTGTATGCTAACACTAACATACTCTGTGCTGACTGATGGTAATCACTAGCTTTGTACTAAAAGTTAGAAACCACCTTATTATTATGTTATTAGTATTGTACTTAAACACTTGTAAAGACAGTGTAACATTGTGTTTTGAACATTAATGAATGCATTACTTGCCTGAAATACTAAAAGTCGATCAATACTGAGGTAACAAGGCTGTGTATGATTCTACAGGGTCGTGTAAAACATTTTCATTTTGAAGCGGTCCCGTTTTGTTATGCACAACAATGCAAACAGATATGAGCTGATGGTTGGTCGTCACTTTCATTCAACACAATGTATATTAAAGTGTTAGCATAAAGCTAGAGGGCGCCATGTATTTTTTTAAAGTTGAGAAATCAATGCTTGTATGTTGCATGTTAGGTGAAATTTTAAATAAATACATGAATTGGGATTGTTTTAAATGTTTTGTAAGCACAGAAATAACTGCTTATGTTAGTGGCATTTATGTTTTTAAAAAGTGACATGACCAAAACATGTCTGTTTTTTTAATAACCAAAATCATATCTATATTTGTAATTGCTTATTGCCAAGGGATTACTATGCTTATTGTATGTTTTAAGTAAATAAACTTTTATGCACTTTTCTTAACCATTTTCCCTTCAATGAAAGAGGGAATTTAAACATCAAAATTGAAATATATGCAAAGTGTATGCCTTGATTGCTAAAATTAAATAAACTTTATATAAAACTCAGCGTTCCCTTTGTTTTCATTGATTTGATTTTCTATTATTATATTATTATAAGATAGAGGGGACGACCTTTTTATATGAATCTGTCCCTTGTCATAATGGGAACTTAATAGTTTAAAAAGAAACTATATGTATAAAAGAAAGCGTAAGAAGCGTTTTCTAGAGCCTGTTCAAAGAAAATAATAGTTTTACTATAAATCTTGGAAAGATTGATGGCTTTTCTAAATGTTACTCGCTTTACACAGATTACACAGAAAGCTATAAACAGGTACCACCTACTAAATGTCAGTGTGGTGTTTTTAAGTGAGTATTAGAGAGTCATTTCACTTTACATGTGCAGGCAGAGTGTTTACAGAAAGCAGTGCATGTCTGTCAAAACCAATCATGTCTTTGTGTGGGAGTCAATTACTTTTGAATTGACTGACTGGTAAGATGATATTCAACATGGACATGCCCATTTCTTTCTCCCTCTCCCTCCTTTCTATGCCTCACTAGTCTCATTTTTTCACCTGCACACAGGTTCAGACACACATGATGTGTGGACCAATCACAGCAACACTACACTGGTCTACGCTCCACACACAGTCACACCATCTTTGTTTGCAGATACAGGTTTGTAGTTCATCTTATGCTCCGTCTCAGAGCTTTGAGGTCCTCTTGCAGTACTAACTATTGCTGCTGTTGAGAGTCTGGACCACGTTTTACCTTTAGAGATCTCTATTGCTTTGAGGATTATTGTATTTATGCAGGTAAGTAATTCTTCAGTTCTTTGAATGGTGTTTTAAAAAGTCATTTGTTTAGGTGAGTAGAACTCAAACATATTTTTAAAGAAATAATTGTGTTGTGTTAAATATCTGTAAACTGTGTCTTATTCACTTAATGCACAAAGGGTCTTACTAAAATCACATAAAACTCTTTTTCAGATTTGTGATGATTTTTCTTCTGAAATTCCTGAAAGTGTTTATCACTCTGTCTCTGCTGAGCGGTCCTGCCTCCACTATGGAGCGAAGTAGGTATACATTTTAAAATGATATCGTCAAAATACTTAAATATGGTAATATAGTAATAATTCATAGTTAGGGTTATACAAGTGTTAGATGAGACAATCGACTCTGGAACCTTTGTGTGTGTTTTCACATCACAACCTGCGTGGCTGATTTTACAGTTCTGTGAGGAAGTCACTGCGTTGATCGTAAACAAGTCAAGAATATCTAAAACAAACACGGTATACAGTAGTTAAACAGCCACATGAAGCAGATATGAGAACTTAAGCCGAGCCATTAATCTCCAGCTTCCATAGACTGGAATTCCCATTTTTCCTGAAACATTATTAACAACTAATTCAACTAATTCAGTATTCTTAGAAAGCACATACAAGGAACAAAGAAGAAAACAATTCGTTCTTCAATTTAGTGCTGAAATCCTTCATCAATCTGTCCATCGACAGATTAGTGTAACAACATGCAATCCGCAACTACTCCGCTAAGTGCCAGTAAATCCTGCACACTGGTCCTTAAAGTAAAATATTTGCCTAAAATCATCAGCAGCTATTAAGCCTTACTGTACTGCTGCTCTACAGATCTATTCTGCTCTATGTGATCTGTGTTAATGATCTTCTGTATACTGTGTTTCTGTCAGTCTCTGGATTCAGTCTGTGGGGGAACGTGGCTGATTTCAACATCAACTGCAGCCACTGGAGCCTAAAGCCTCAGGTCTCCATCCCGGCCCTGCATGAGCTCACGGTCTGCTTCAACCTGAAGTTCAAGGTAGTGATGAAGAATGTCCTTTAGGCCACTGCACAACTAACTCCCAAGTCTTAGTTACACTGATATAACTTTCAAGGGAAAATGTATTTAAGGGGCCTTCAACATTTTAATTATGTTTCACATTTCATCAACCATATCTAGGTCATGGCTTCCTTACCATGGACCGCCTTCATGTACCGTCACCCCGAGCTTAAGTATCCTGAGCTGGGCTTGGAGGGAAAGTTGGGTCATTTAGTGGTCTGGCTGTTTGGGACGAAGTGGACTGCCACTCTGGTCGACCTTCGTGTGTCAAACTGGTACTCACTGTGTCTGACCTGGACACATACTAAAGACAGACCTGCCCTATACATCAATGGCAACTCGGTGGACATCAAGGCAGGTGGGTTTAATAATAGACAACTGGTTTAGAAGTTTACGATCTTTATAAGGTGGCTTATTTTTAAGAGATGCAAGTCCCACACCACAGTATTTTATTTTGTGTTTTATCTTATGGTCTGTTTTTATTATTATATATTTCTACTTCGCACAACTATGTATTATATTCTGATGGTGCTCTGTTACCATATTTGTTTTCTATGTTATATGTTCTTGAGCTGCAAAATACATTCCACTTTGAGGGGCATTAGATTCATATTCTATTCATGCCGGGTTAGTATTTACATTGGGCCTTAACTAAATCCATCACCTTGGTGAGATACAAAAAGACCAAGCAGCAGCATGAAGATCATGCAAGGAAGACAAGAGGTTTTTTTTGTGCTACGTAGCCAACGACTGATGACTGATAGTGGAAAGAATTTTATAATGACACTGAGAAGCTGAGAAGCTGAATTTAATGTGGATTGGTCATGCCCAAATCACTCATCTGCTTACTGGAGTTAGTATTAGGGATAGAACCAATAGCAATCGTATTGGATCCATACAACTCTAACTGAATGCAGGTTAGATAACAGTTTAGCACATGTACCGACATTTTCATTGTTGCCATTGCAGTGGTAATTACTTGGAAAAAAGATGATTAGAGAGTCCATTGTCTTCACATTGCGCTCTTTTGGCTCTGAGGCAACTGACAACTATAGGGTTCTTGATGTTTCAGGTTCAAACTGTGATAATAAAATGTATCTGACCCTCTTTTAGCCACACTACCCTGTTTTCTTCCTTCCTAGCTCACGATGTGGAGACAACTCCTTCCATTTCCCCCTCGTGCTGCAAACTGGCCCCCAATGGAACGCTTACTCTGGGAGCGCCACACATCCTGGTCAACGGGAATATCAGGATTATTCCATTTACCGGTCTGTTGATGAAATTATCTCTGTTTCGGCTATGGGGGCGAGAACGCAGCAAACAGGAAGTGACATCGCTTAAATGTACGGAGGGAGACCTGGTGAAGTGGGAAGGGGGCGACTGGGACATAACTGGGACCTGTGCTCCGCTCCCTGATTCCAGCCTGGAGTGTGGTGAGCCAATGAAAAACGTCCTTCACATTAACTGAAACACATTTTTTCCAGTTTGAAGTAAAATGCTTCGGTTCAAATCTTCTGAACAATACATTTATGCCACAGACAACCTTTGTAATCATTGTATTTTACCTCTGTACTAATTTCTTTATCATAATGAAAGTTTGCCATGAAATTAAAATGCTTGTTTAATTTATAGTAGAAAATTATGGCAAAAATACTTAACTATGAACAATATAATTGGTATACGTTTCATTTGTTACTGTAATGTACATGTTTATATACTCACTCTCTGGCTGATCGGCAGAGTGGTCCATTTACGAAGTGAGACTGATGTTTGTCATCTTCCGTTACGATGGGAACAACACTGAGCTCTACACAGTCAGAGATATCGCACGTCACTGGGTAAAAAAAATAGATAAAGATTTTATCAATTTAATTGTACAAACTGACTGAAAAGTGTTATGTTACACTGAAGTTGATTATTCTTGCAGTCACTTTGTGTGTGGAAATGTCCGTAAAAACTACAGAGGTGTTGGGTTGGATTGTGTTATATTGTACAGGTGATATTTTGTGGCCGTAAATGCTCTCTGCCGTTTGTTGTTCCTGCAGCTCAGAGACGTTCTGCCGAGCAGTATCTATTTATACAATGTGTCTGTGTTTGAAGTATCCAGGTATGAAGAGATTCATGTTTACAACACTGACACGACTCAATGTATTTTGTAATAAAATACCAATAAATGTAATTTTGTGCCACATCAATTAAACCTTATTTTATAGTATTTGACAGAAAGGGGGAACTAGGGGACCATAAACATACAGAGTTTCTCTGATCTCTTACGCAGATCCAGTACAGACGACGACAGCCTTGTAAAAACAGCACATGAAGACGGGCGGGTAAGCAAGCACATTAGAGCCTGATCAATCAACAGATATTTGCTTACTGCTGATAAGGCTGTAGTGGTGTACACCTTGGGCGCCAAGTAACAAGATATTGTAAGTGCTCTCTGGTGGACATATAGTATTTGTCCACCAATACTATATCCAATATACTGTAAACAGATTTCAAACCTTGATATTGGTATTAACTGAGGCTCTAAAGCATGTAGGAAATGTTACCATTGTAAGAATAATCTATTTTTAATATAACTTTAAAATCTATGTGTCTTTTATTCTTCAGGTGCGGTGGGCTCCCTCTAATAACAGGTAACATGGTTCAGGTTTACTGTTTGGTTTAAAAAAGTCCAGTGTGTGACTATTAGGAGGATCTATTGGCAGAAATGAAATCTAATATTCATAGTTATGTTTTTATTTGTGTATAACCGCCTGCATTGTGAAAAAGAATTGTTTTGGTCACCTTAGTGTGAGTTGCAATCTGAAATGACACCGCTAGATGCCACTAAATCCTACACACTGGTGCTTTTATGATTTCAATTTTCTAAATATGATATAATCTGGTGATCTCTGGGATATAAGATGGTCAACTATAAAGATGCAGTATCAATTTGGAAAATGACCACAAAGCAAGGAAGAATTTAATCAATAGTCATTCTTTCTTGTGAAAAAGTTTATATTGTTTCTTGTTTTTAAATTCCATATTTTATATTTAGTTTTTGTTTTATTCTCTCGTTTATATCTTGCTGTTATTTATTATTTCTTCCTTCTGCTGTTTGTTATCCCCCTTGTGGGGTTAATAAACAGATCTTATCTTATCACTCACTCTGGTTAAACTGCTCATCACTCATGTCCACAAAGAGGACGGAAAGTAAAAACACTAAAACACTATGTCTCCCCCTGTAGGTTCAACTGCCTGGTTCATGTAACCATTGTCCCCAGCTTGGATGTGGCAGCTGTGAAAAAAGAGATGCACACGGAGCTTGGGCGCCCTTACGAAGACCCCAGTGGTCTTCTACAGCTTCTGATTGATGCAGGGAGCATACACACCACGCCTGTTGGTGGGTGTGTGTGTGTGTGTGTGTGTGTGTGTGTGTGTGTGTGTGTGTGTGTGTACACTTTGCAGAAAAAACAATTCTGTTCACAATAATCTTTTTCCTCTTTCCAGAAAGTTTGTCCGCTGCCACCATCAGCCCCACTGATGTGGTGACAGCGCCCTCTCCAGTCACAACCACATCATCCATTACAGCCACTACCAGCACCACAAGTCACATTACCAGTGCGGCAACAGCTACCACCTCCACAACAAGCCCAGCAAATATCTCTAGTTAGTTTTATGATTTACACTCACAGAATGCTCTCCATCACAGTTTTGTGTGAATTATAAGGGGATTTTATTTGACTCTACATATGGAAACTTATTCATTGTTTATTCTGATCTCCTCTGCAGAGCTGTATTTCGAGGTTGAAGTGAATATTTCCATAACAGGCGACTGTTACACAGAACAGACTCTTTCCACCTGGGTATGACAGAATAGTAAGCTCTTTCAGTTCTAGGAATGTAACAGATGTGGCTTTACCTGTCTTAAATGTGGCCTCTCACTCTCCGCAGCTCAACTCCAGTCTACCTGATGAAATGATGATGGTGCTTGACCTCCAGCTGCTCCCCAAAACTGAAAGGTGCAGTACATGATGTAGCTGGCACACCATCAACTCACCATCTATTTCCATTAATATTTGATCTCAACATGCACAATTTGATTTTGTGACTAATCTCACTTCCAGACATGATCCTAACCTGCAGTCAAACCTCTCTGCCTCTGAAGAAGTAAGTAAACATACAATTCTCTCATGTCAGAATATATGAAATCGTTCACAACTTCCGTATGATGAGAATCTTATGAGCTGTGTAAAAGCTGTTTGATGGGGTTTTGCAGATTTTGGGTTCTGCAGCTTGACGCCAATATTCAACATCCCTAAAAGAATAGTAACACATTTAGAGAAATTATTATTATTCGCATGACATTTGCAGACAAGGAAATTACTGAACGCTATGTGGCAAGACGACTAGATTTCACTGGATTAATAGACTTAACATTTGTTTGCACTATGGCTCAAATTTATTCAACTGTAATGCAAATCCTGGAATTGGTTTAACTTTTGTGTGTCCTGTCTTGAAGTGAATCACACTTTCCCTCCAGTTTTTAAGCGGTGTCAATATTTTAATTCTTTTTCAGGTGTTCATATACAGAGTTTCGAGGTATGGATCACGTAGCTCTACAAAATTTCACTCAGATCAAGAACATATTAAACAGAAGTTAAATGAATACACAAAGTCAAAGACACACAATAAGGCAAATAATGAAACAGTTTCGGTATAACGGGCTGCTTATCACACATATTTACTGTTTCACACAGCATCCTAATTTGAGTGGGACATACTGGTTTAATTGAGCTCTTTAATTTATACATCAAATATATCATCTTGACTTTTACTGCTACAATTAACTCTTTTACTATCGGCAGAGAGCGCTGTGTTTTCCAGGTTCAGGTCATGATGTCGTCAGACACACAGGAAATGGAGAAGCAGATAAGATACCTGCTGCTGGTGCCTTATAACAATGGATCCATATCCATCTCCACAGCAACCGAGGACATACAAATCAGCCGCATATGTGCGTAAGGTTCAGGTTCAGTGCAAGATTACACACAATAAAATTTACTGATAGACTTTAATTATTTGACTTTTAAAAAGTGATATTAAATTCTAGACTTTATTCTTAATTCTAGTTGCTGTCACCCTGTTTTAGTGATATTTAACTGCAATGCTGAAACCCACCAAACGAGGAAAGGCCTGTTTGGGTGGCTCGCCACTTCAGGAGGGGAAAATGCATCACTCCCTTGCCCAAAAAACCCGAGCTGGTACGCCACCCGACACTGGTGAGCGTCAGACAGTTCATTCATTCATTCATGCAAAATTTGCCATCAACCATTACGAGTAAGATAACTAACTGGGATGTCTTTCGTATGTGGGAGAAATTAAAACAAATGTAGCATAGTTCAGTGTCAGAATAACCAAAAAGAATATTTCAATTAAATAATAATATTGAATATTATTTCATTTTAAATAATAATCCAAAGATTATTACTGTTACTACTACTACTTGCTACTACTATTACCCTAATTAAGATTTACTGAAATAAGGCTGTTACATTTCAGATATTTTACTTTAGAAGAACCAGAATAAAAAAAACAACTTGTTTCACATCCATTTGCAGGGCAACTTCTTACAACTTCGCAAGATGTGATATTTAATTTGATCATCAAAGGGCTGGTAGAGCTCCACTTAAATCATTCAAAACCGAAATAACTGAAATGTCTAAATTAATAATAGCAAAAAAATGCCAAAGAAAACATTAAGAGTTCATGTATTTAGCTGGTTGTCAACATGAATATAACACATGACTAAAAACAGGCGTACTTGGGTACTGATTACATCCGTTGGTAAATATTTAAATGGCTGTCTTGATGTGTTTAGGACTCTCTGTATGTTGACTCAGCATGACAATACTTATTGATAGCTGCTCATGAGCTCCAGGAGGCTGTGCTGTAAAATCATTAATCACTAATGAGTGGAGTTAACAGATAGGACAGGTAGGTAACCAACAACCAACAGCCTCCCAGCGTTTTAAGCTCTGTTTAAGAGATGCATTGTCTGCCAAAGTCTTGGGGTAGTATATAACAACTTACCAGAAAGTATGGACAACAAACATTTAGATTAGAATAACAGATACATGTGAAATGTGAAATACATTTTAAAAGTAATTTCCCTCAATCCTCTCACCGACAGTAAACTGTGCCTCAGCACCCACTGGATGGTCCCAGACCTGGAAGACTGTTCTCTAGTGGTGGAAACCATTCCTGATCTGGACCATGTCAAAGTGACTGCTGGTCTGTTACACACTTTTCACTTCATTTGTCCGTGTTAAGTTTTAGTTGCTAACATTCAATCTCAAATTTATGGTTCAAAACTTAATGTTGACGATCCAAAGAATTCATAATGACATATTTAAAATGCTTAAAAACAGATGCAGTCAAGTCAGTAGTGGGGTGTATTAATGTCATATGATGGTTCAGATTAACTAACATGGATTGACAATGGTGATTCCTTCCGTTTTGCACATTTAAATAACAACAGAACAAGTCAGGACTAATTCCATGATTGGTCTGTATAAAATCACCACCAAATACATTATTTCACAAGTTGTATAATTTATCTCCAGAGAACGCTCTGGACGTGGTGGAGATGATTCAAGGTTTACTAAATGACCACACCACACTCAACTACCAGGAGCTGGTCACAGTTCTCAACAAGGTGGAGGACATCGTCAACCTCAGTGTGGTCTCACCAAACATGGGCCAAGCTCTAATTAACATCATCTCGGACATACTGGAATCTGACAGCAACCTGATACCTTTTACTAACACGTAAGGATTGAAAAACTGAATCAAAAATCAAAAGAAATGTTCTTAACTTTCCTGTTTACCCTCTTTCTCTGTCTTCATGTCCAGTATCCTCAACATCACAGAGGCAGTGGGAGACAGGATGGTGGGCTACTCAGGCTCCTTCACCCTGGTTGCTCCGGCCATTGCAATCTCAGTGGTGGATGTAGTTCCTGGACAGTTTAGCAGTTTGACTTTCGGAGTGTCGTCTGACCGCGCAGGCACAAAGCCTGAGGTTAGTAAAGTAACAACCAATAACAGTCCTCTATCTGTCTGAACAGTCCATTCATTCGAAATGAATAGATCAAGCAAAGACATTATCATCACTTCGGACTCCTGGCTCTGACTGATTATAAAATATATAATATTATATTAGCCATTAACATGAGAAGACACTGAGAAGAAAAGGTGCGTCATATCTAATTAAAACCAGTATAAATCCTAATGTCACTGAAATTTTTAATATCACAATATTTATGGTATTGTGATGTAAACTTGGGCAATACCTATTTTCTTCATAATTTTTTGACATTTCACTGGGGTATATGGTGTACGACATTATTTATATTTTAAAAAAACAACAACAAACAAAACAAAAACACTGACCTGCTGGTAATAGAAATCAATGTATCATGCCGATCGTTTCTACTTTAACCAGTGCAGCTTTTCTAGCCTTTAAGGCACTGAAGGCCCAGAATCACCTCACATGATGCTCCTTAACCAATCAAATCTGTCCGACTCCACTCAGCGAGTGAGACACACACACAGCCTGTGTGACACAGCGGAGACGAGACAAGGCAGTGAAGAGAGCTTTTAATCCAGAATGGACGGAATTTTACATTCTTCATTCTTCCCACGGCAATTATCAAAAGCAGTAATGTGAAACGCCACTAACCTTTATTTTCTAGTTCGGAACAAATGAACTGAATTACAGGTGTGAAAGCACCCTCTTCTCTTCTTGTCACGCACAGTCTGCAATGAAAGAATCAGAAAATATCTATGAGCGTTACTCATAATTAAAGAGGGCCGTGTCTGAGCTTAAAAGAGAGTAAATACATTTCTCTTTATGTTGTAGATTTTTATCAACAGGTATCCCTTCAACAGCACAGTGGCTTTCATCTCCCTGCCATCCGTCCTGCAGCACAGCTTCCCACAGAACAGCTTGAACCAGAGCCCACCGAGGGTTACGTTTCAGTTCTACGGCATCCCGATGCTCTTCAGGGTACTACTTTGTATGACTCCTTAAAGAAACTGGATAAAACATGTAATTCTATCAGAATATTTAAGACATTCTCGAAACATCAGTCCTTGTATTTATACTTGCACATGCATTTTGTTATTATTTTCAGAGCAGCCAAAAGGGGCAGACCCTCAACACCTTTGTGGTGTCAGCCAGTGTGACCAATGTCAGCTCGCCTATTAAAGACCTAGATCAAGATGTCAAAGTGACACTCCATCATCTTATACCCAATACAGTAGGATCAACTTAACATAACTAACGTAAATGTAATGAATTAATTAGTTATTAAGTGAGTAATGCCTTTGATTAACAAAAGCATTTCATTTGCATCTGTGTTAAAGCTTTACAAAGACGTACAGTGTGTGTACTGGAACTTCAATAAAAACAGTAGGTCCTGATTTAAATGGTCGCTTTTTTAAATATATATTATAAAAGCTGGATGATCTTGTGTGATGCTAAATGTCTGTGTCATCATGTAGATGGACATGGAGGCTGGGATGACTACGGTTGCAGAAAATATAACAGCAGCTCTGACTACACAACATGCCTGTGTGATCACCTCACACACTTCGGAGTTCTTCTGGTATACGTTGTATTTTTCTGTTTTACCCTTTCCTGGAAAGTGAACTTTGGCCACAGAGAGCCTGCAGCACATTACAAAGTTTTGGTAATAGTAAGGACAGTGGCAGCAGCAGTATTAATGTAGCAGTAATGGTGGTTCTATGACTTCACCAGCAGAGGGCGCTCAAAGCACAATCTATATAAAAATGAATTACTATCAAGCAAAGTTTGTCACAAATTCATTATTTTTGATGAGCAGAGGTAATTGTGGGATGTACTTCCTGTTCTCTGGGGTTTTTATAGATTGCAATGATACTTTAAATCAACATAACCTAAAGTATATAGCTTTAAAATAAATCCCACACAGTATATGCAATACAGGTGATAGAGGGAGCTAGTTATTTAAGAGTTTCACTGAGAGAATAGAAAGATCTTTATGCTAGTTTGTACTAGGTAGTAGGGACAGGAGCAGTTATTATTACTGAAGAGACACACTATAACCAATCTCTGTGTGTTTGTGTGTGTGTGTCTAGGATGTCTCCAGGACTCAGGTGGACCCGGCTAATGAGCAGATCCTCACCATTATCACCTATGTTGGTTGTGGAGTCTCATCATTGTTCCTGGGAATTACTGTTCTCACTTACACAGCTTTCGAGTGAGACTCCAACCACCGAGTTACATTTCATAAATGTTCTCTACTTGTCATACACTGTGTTTAGATGCTGCCTGGTAACCTGTTGATAAGAGATGTTGGCACTAATGCAGATAGATTTGAACACTATATTTTTGTGTCCGTACTGAAATACCCAACACTTTGTCCACACTAAAATAACAACTAAGAAATGTGTGTTAGACCAAGGCTAGTATTTCTGGAAAGCTTCTGGTATGTGTTTAGTGATTCTACTCTATTGATCAGTGTATATACAGTGTTGTGTATGTTTGCGTTTGTTGTGTCTAACCTTTCGTTCTCCTCCCTTGTTTTATCTCCGTCTCAGGAAGCTTCGTCGAGACTACCCTTCTCAGATCCTCATCAACCTCTCCCTGGCCCTGCTGGGCTTGAACCTGGTGTTTCTGGTCAACTCCTGGCTGTCCTCCTGGGGTCTACATGGCCTTTGTGTGGCTATAGCATCCACACTGCACTACTTCCTCCTGGCGTCATTTACCTGGATGGGATTAGAGGCTGTTAACATGTATTTTGCGCTCGTCAAAGTCTTCAACGTCTATGTGCCCTCTTATATCCTAAAGTTCTGTGCTCTGGGATGGGGTGAGTTGTGCTGTTGACTGAAATATTGAGACGAGGCTATGAAAAACTCAAACATGACACAGTTGAAGTATTTTAACTGTCCCTCCAGGGATTCCTCTGGTGATCTGCATCCTGGTGCTCACTGTGAACAGGGAGGCCTACGGCAGCCACCTCTACACAGATGCTCAGCCTGGCTTAAAGTCACTGGACAACTCAGACAACTTGTGAGTTTTTTTAGTTTCATCTTATGTTTATTTTCCATATCGTGATGCATTTTTGAAACACAGGGGATTCAATCAGCAGTGAGACTGACAGAAATATTTACCAGAAACTAACCTAACCCACTATAGTGTGGCACATAATGTGGATGTGCTCGGACAACCACAATAATTGCTGTATATCTCCCATCTCTTCACCTCCATTTCTCTTTTTGCATCAAACTCTCCCCCCTGACTCGCTCCCTCACTATCCCCTTTCCCACGTCATCCTTGTTCCCTTAGCTGTTGGCTCCAGGACGATGTGACATTTTATGTGTCTGTGGTTGCCTATGCTGTGCTGGTCTTTCTCTTCAACATTGCGGTAAATAATTTGAACATTTCATTAAAGTACGTATAAACGTCTACATCACACAAATGTTTTACTGGTTAATGTGTAACAGTAGTCTCCTAATTACCTTACTATTTTTTAGAGAGGACAGTTTTAGAAGGAATATCTACACTTATCAATTAGACAGCACTTATTTTTGACAATACTTCCAAAATAGTATACTCTACATTTTTATCAACTCAAAATAGATCAGGTTTTGAAGCCCATTTAACCTGGTATGACTCAGTATAACAATATGCAACTTATCCTCCATCCAAACTCCCATTTGAGTGCACTTATACTTATCTTTCCATTGTTACTTTCCTCTTATCTAACACTCTAAGCCTTCTTTTGACTCTTCTTTTAGGTTTTTGTGGTGGTTCTGATCCAGATTCGCCACATGCGAGTCAACAGCCCAGCTGGGACACACAGTGGACTGATGCATGACCTGAAAGGCGTTGCCAGTCTTACTTTGTTACTAGGACTAACATGGACTGTTGGCTTCTTTACCTGGGGACCAGCCAGAATAGTTCTGCTGTACCTTTTTTCTGGACTCAACAGCCTGCAAGGTTAGATAATTACTGAAAAGCATGCTGGATATTGAACCACTTATACCCAAAACAGGTGCCCTCAAATGGAGCAGAACAGGTGGCCTTATATAGCAATTAAGGGGCATCGATTATGCTAATGCTGAAATCTCACGTGTGGACCTCTTCATGAACAGGTGGCATTCATGTTCAAACGGTTGAAATATACAATTTAAGACTTAATTTGTGCAGTTACAGTAAGAGGGTTTGATGATTTTGTGTTCTTGTTATAAACCTCTATTACTTGTTTCTTCTTAGAAGAGGTCCATTGTGTTCGTAGCTGTGTTTATTTACTGAGGGGAGGGTTTGCTAACAGCACATGCAGTCTTCCTCAACATCCTACTTCATGTCCACAGTTCAAAAAGACACCACAAAAACTCACTGGTGAAAAAGAAGGAAATCAAGCAGAGGCTGAATGACGCAACTATTTCATAACTGCTTTTACCTCAGCTGTGCTTTGTTATATTTCTTTCTTTTGTATGTGGGAGCGACACAACAAAGGCCCTCCACTTGTTATTTCTTGGAGAGAAAGGCCTTGCTCAAGTGCAAAAAGTACACACCAGTCACCAACCAAGAACCAATCTAGTTCTCCAAAGCTCACGGCCATCATCACACTTTTGTTTATCTTTCAGGACTTTTCATCTTCCTTTTCCACTGTCTGATGAAGGAAAATGTCAGGAAACAATGGAGGATTCACCTCTGCTTTGGACGTTTCCGGCTTGATGAGTATTCTGGTACGATAGCCACACACAGTATGAAAAACATTGCCTGCAACTATATATATATATACACATACACACACACACACACACACACACACACACACACACACACACACACACAGTAGGCTATAAAATAACCTAACATACTCTCTGCAATCTTTTTTGGCTTTTGTTGCACTTGCAAAGTGACACGGACGGAGCAGAGAGCTGACGACAGAGCACTGTGCACAAAGGTTTCGTTATATAGAATAGGTGTGGGTGTATATGATGCACCGTCAGGTCCAGAAAAATTACATCCTCTGTACCTTTGGTACCTACAGTACTGTAGACGAACAAGTATCGTCAAGTTTTCACAGTTTTGGTATTGACTTGGTACTGAAGTATCGGTTCCTAGTACCATTGTCACTCTCCCAATCCAATTCAAAAGTAACAAAAACACAACAATTCTTATTTTAAGGTGATTACACAATAATCCAAACACACCTATAAATATTATTTTCTATTTCTGCCAGTAGATCCTCCTAAATCTTAATCTGTCAACTGGTACTTTGCAAAAGCTTGATTTCACCAGTTACAGACAGCTGCTTCCATGTAACAAATTTGGGTGTACGTCATTGTGTTTTGGTTCGTGATTTGTTACCTGTGTCTGGTGTTGTCATTCAGAGTGGAGCAACTCCGCATCAGTTGGAGTCATGGCCAAACCCAGAGCAAATCCTCCAAGAGCATCAGTGCCATCGGTTCACTCAGTCAAGTCCAGCTCCACAGACAGCACGTCAGCTTCCTCCGACTCCAGCCACAGAGAGTCATCCTGCAGGAGACCAAACCTGGGTGATGAAATAAAGCAGCACACATCCTTATTTAATTCTAACAGTCTTTCATCACATGTCAACACTGCTATCATTTTAGTACACTAACTAGCCAAAAAGATGACAGACAATGCAAAATAAATAAAAAATCTAATAATTATAATACAAAAATAAAAACACATTTGTAAAAAAAAATCTTTGAGAAATAAAAACAAAAAGGCTTTAGCTTCAATTATATGCCTAATGAGTTTCAGTGAGATATTCTTCATTTTGTCATTAGTTTATCTTCTTCTGACATTAAAGTCTTAATAAATTCCTTGATCCTGAACTATTGTAAGAGATTTAAGGTTGCAATTAAAAGCTGTAATTTATCTTGTTGCGATTCAGCCTTGTTCGTATAAAATGATCACAAATTTAGCCAGACATCACAGTCCCTTGGCTGCCAGAATCACAGTGAAGGTCACTGCATACATTAATGAGACTGCACTGACGTTCAATAATTACACAAAAGCCTTTGTAATTAAGCCAGTTTAAACACAACTAAAAGGACATATCTTTCAAAGGTTTCCTTCACCATGTGACAGCTTAATTTAAGTTTAACCCCAACTCTCAGGCATACGGTCTCAAACCACATATGAGAAAATATCTGTTTTTCACACCTCTAATTGTTAACAGACATTTAATTATCTTGCAGGCTTTTTTGTGAATTCCCTGGCTCTCCCTCGAGCCCAGAGTAGCCCATCAGCACCAGGAGCTCTGCCTTCCCAGAGGTGGATGAACCAGACACCTGGCTGGAGGAATCACTTGCTCGGCCAGCAAGAACAAGGATAAAACATGCATGACATACATATGCATTTGCCTACAGAGAATGCAGACATGCCAATCAAAGAAACGGTCATGAAAAGCTTTAAAACAGCAGCCTTAACACATAGTTCCCTTCTATACAAGCCACAGAGGTATGTAATCCATGCAGCGGAGAGCCAAATGTAACTGTGAGGCACCATTATATTCCAGCTTCATTAGATTATTTTATCAGGCAATTCTATTGTTTTTGTTTTTGCTAAATATTGTAAAAGAGCCTATAATTAAGAAGACATGAGTAGTTGCATCGGTTCCAAGGAGGAGTTGGTTGCCAAGCAACTGGTGAGTGGAGCCATGGTGACAATGAACCATGGTACCACACAGTTTGTATGAAAAAAATAATAAAATTTTAAATTTAAGATGATGCAAGTCTCCCTCCGTTTCTTCTTCCCCTCTTCCTCTGCCAGAAAATGTGTGCTTCAGGATTAACCAAATAATAATTCTACTATCATTCCCCGATCACGTTACAAAAACCACACCATCTTTGAGTGTGTGATCCAAAAGAGTCACTACATAATATATTTTAAATATACAGCTGATATTGATTGGGGTTGATCGGTAACACAATTACAATTAATTTTCATTCTTATTCATGATACTTAAATACTATTAAATATGGGGACAGGAGTCATTTAAAAACCTCAAACTACAGACGACATTACAGGAGTTAAAACTTTAAACTTCATAACGTACCTTTGGCTCTTCAGCTGCTGATTTGAGCTCCTGACCCTGAACACACTGGACTTGTTGTGGATAAAATTACAAAAACCAGAATAACTGTTAGATCTGTTAGTTTAAAACTATATGACAGTGAATGACAATTAACAGTAAATTATAAAACACAAAATACTTACCTGTTCATAATGCCTTCTCCATACCAGTGACTTTAAGTATTATTTGGTTGTTGCATCAACACAAAATACTTTGTTAATCAGTACAAACTTTTAACTACAAAACAACAGGGTGATAACGCTGCTCAATTCTACTTGACAGGGCAGTATAAATGTTAGTCTTCAACCAATATTTTTCCACCCACAACTCATTAAAACTGACTACTTCACTGGTGCATCACAGTAGGGTCGGTTTTTATTTTTCTCAAACACCTACACAAACTAAAAACAACGTTATACATAAAACTAGAATTACTGTTAAAGATAATTAGTGAAGTGCACTGAACAACAGCAAACAAAATCTCAAGAGGAACTTGGATAAACTTTTCCATGGCCTGTTACTGGCAGCACATTCAAGTGCCAAAGCAGTCCACCAGCTTTTTTGAATTCCAGGGACCTGCATCGTTGTTCAGAAACTGTTGCTTGACCAGATCTTTTACTGTCTGGTAGATGACGGCTTCCACCTATAAAACAACAAACCATTTTTACACCATCATGCGTCACATCTGTCTAAAACTGCATTGAAGCAAAGCACTACACATTCACCATAACCATACTTGATAGTTTGAGAGTACCAATGGTCTGGGACAGAGCACTGAGCATTCACGTAACCATCTATAGTTGACACACACCTTGACGCTGTGGTAGGTGGGGAGATCCAGCAGATAGCTATGCCCACCCAGCTCTGCAACTCGACAGAAATAACTGTAGAGGGCCCTCTTGCAAAGTCTGCTGGAGAAGCCTGGTCCACTCACAGATGGAGAGCTGGAAAATAGTGCATCAGAACCAATATTCCAATTAATGCTTTCCTATACATATATACTTATATGTGTGTGTGCATGTATATCTATATACATGTACATATACATATATTGTTTTATATATTAATGTATTTGAAATATACTAATATAAAAAAATTCAAGGAAAACCCTTATTGCAAAACATTAACCTCAACATTTCTCACCAAAACACAATGCTTGTGTCCTTAAAGGTCTAACACATTTGTTAAATGTATTTTCAACCTCATATGAAATATTTAGCAAAGCCTCGTTTTGAATATTTAACTTTTTACATTCATTTTGGTTCAATGGATCAGTTTTCTGCCTTCTTAGTCTTGAGATTCAGACATTTTATCCAGCTACAATATCCGAATAGCCGTAGCTGCCTGAGAAATAATGGCACCTTCTTGTTTACTGAAGATGTAACCTTGCTTTGTAGTGTGTGTCACATACACATTCCCCACCAAAGAATCACAAAGAAGCTAGTCAGTTTATTAGCAGCAGTGAGAAGTATCCACTCTTAAGACCAAACATTGTAGATGTAAAATGTGTGTTCATTCTCCACAGCATTTGGTGACCTGCTCTGAACAATGTTTCCACCTCCAACAACTATTTTGGAGGATGCGGTCTCTGCTTCACAGGCTCAGCTGTGCTCAACATAACAATGTGTTTGGCAAGACAATTCTGCTCCACTGTTTATAGCAAAAACTGTGTGGTAAGTGTGGTGTGACTGAGTGGGAGAAGGAAGGGTTTCCTGCAAACAGCACTTACTGCTGCTGCTAAGCAACTTCCTGGGGGAAACCCTGGGGTGGACCCCTGGGGTACCAGACCAGTAGTGAGAGCCATGGGTTAGGGGTGATACTAAATATGACAGCAAAGACAAAAGCTGGCACTGCAAATGGCTGTGCAGGGTGACTGATATCAAATAATTTTAAGATCTGATTTACAATGTCTTCAGCCCATTATATCCTCTGAAAACTTTTTATTACTAATACATTCATATACATATACATATAATGAATTCTTCTTGGCAAAATTCAAGTGATTTGAGCTCAAGCCAAGGTTTTTAGGAAGCAATTAATTGCTTCACTGGTAAAAACCATGGCTAAAAGAAGCCAGGAATAATTGGTGTGCAACTTCTACTTCACTAAATTAAAGTAGCCTCATGTGGTCTCCTTTTGTCTTCACACTATAATTTAGGAGTTTTTTTTCCTAGCAGGTGTTCCTGTCATTCTTTCGATTCTTCAACTCCCCCTGCACCCTTTGTCCTGTACTCTTGCCTTTAAATATATTTTCTTCTTTCATTTCCTATTTATAGTATATTGTTTGGAACATGCTGCAGAGCTCATCCTGACACGTTAAACCACGGTGTCGCCTAAAAACGAATAGTTCAGCCTGTAAGACAGAAGCTGAAGTATGCAGCAACACTGCGAGTGCCAAGCAGAATCTCACATCTATTTTTGGCTGTAATCTGTACACAGCCTCCAGTGAGAGCCACGTCTGTGTCACACTCTAGTTACTGGACATCAGCAGTTGTCTGCAGCTCTAAAACCAAGACATGGCAGGAGCCCCAAGCCTCAATGAGACTGTCAAACAACCAAACGGCATCAGGCTCAGCCAGTAGTTCTATTATATCCCTGGAAGTGGCTGCAGAAGTGTAAATGAGGTAAGCTATAGTCAGTCTGCATGTGTACATGACATCATACTGGTCCAATATTTTTGATGCAGGATCAACACATGGCACTTCTTAAAATTAGTTAAATTTGATTTCTGGTACAGTGTTTCTGCATCTTACCCATCAATGATGAAGCCCTTGCTACTGTCCAGAACTTCTATATCCTTGTCTCCGAGGCACCAGTTGATGCTGAAATCGTCATGCCGTGGGGAGGCCACGACTGGTCCCACATAGTCACCACAGAGGAAGAAGATGTCGTGTTTTTTGTAGGACTGCAGCAGAACGTCTTCCAATGAATCACCCAGTCGCTTGTTGGTGATATCAGACACTTCCTCATTAAAGCGATTCTGGCCCCCTAAATAAAACACAACAATCTCAGTAATTCTTAAATATCTGAGGAATTTAAAAACACACAGGTGAAAGAAATGAATCCTTGTAACATTTGATATTTAAAGTGTGTAGGAGAAACTGTAGAAACATGCAGGTTCAACATAGCGGACTCCGTAGAAGAGGATCTGCTCTCTCTGTAGATGAAAACTCATTAATCTTATTTTAATATACACTAATGAAAACATAGCTATCATACATTAAATTATATTTCCGCCAATAGATCCTCCTAAATGTTACAGACTGGACCTTTGAGTGGCCGTTCCCATTAAATCTAGTAGTAATCATTTTCTCAACAGCTTCAGTTTCGTCATTTCAAAAAACATCTCACTTACTGTTTATGACGGCATGTAAAATTATACCATCTGGATGTAAAATACCAATTACTGTTAACAAGACATGACAAGCTAACTTTATTTAGTTAGTTTATACATTTAGTGGCATCTAGATGTGAAGTTGCAGATTACAACCAACTGAAGGGTTCCTGGAAAGTTATTCCTTAAAAAGAGTGGGAACTCTGTCTAAGAAATCAAGTGTATCTGCTAAAATGTCTGTACCTAGAACCATGCTGGTGATGTAGAGTGGCTGGATGAAGTGGCTCAGTAATGCACCCTGAACTCCAGTGACAGTCCAGCGACACAACTTGTCACTGCCAGACATGCAGCAGACTTTTGCACCCCAGTGACTCGGGTCAAGGTAGGCTACAGGGACCAGCAGGCCCTTGGCATGATACTGCAGCTTCATAGCTGCAGTATTATTCAGAGGGCCCCTAAACAGGACAAAAGATTGTATTTTACCCATTTAATTATTATAATTACAAAGACATTTCTACAGAAACACAAACCATAGATATTAAACTGCTGTAAGGTTTAGTTACAAAATATAATCATTTGCATAAAGCAGCAAAATATGAATTAACTTAAACATTTTAGTGTGCCACTATTATAGTAGTCAAACACACTATTTTGGAATGAAATTCTTAATTATTATCATCCCAAGGCATTGCACATACATGCTGCAAAATACTGCAACAAAGCACATAGGACAAACATGTATATTGAAACAATCAAAAGAAGGGAATAAGAGACTGCTGTACTTGAAGTAGAAGTTCTTAGCTGCTCCTTCAGGACACTGGTTGGTGTAGAGATGCAGACTGATCTTGGGTTTGAGCTGAAGCTGGTGGCTGTCTGCATTACTCTCGAAAATACAGTTCTCCTTGGCCCTTGGATCCACATCAAAGAACAGCAAAAGCTGTTTGTACAGAAACCTGAACACAAGCCAGAAAATACCATTCTCATTTTCAGCTACACCTGCACTTTAAATGCACCCGTAGCATTATCAATGGCACAAGAGCCGGAGCGAGCTGATCCAGGCTAACAGCTCTAACAAATGATAGGAAGGCCTGCCATGACCTCATGAATATTAATAAGAGAAAGGCAATGTTTCTAAATGTTTTTTGTAAATGTATTTAAAGTTAAGATGTAGAAGAGTAGGAAACGTGACAATTTTGCATGAGCTGGTTCTTCAACGTCGCTGGAAGTCATATTAGCAGTTTGTACCTCAGGAGAGCCCGTCTGGCAATGATGATGGCGTGGCAGTCATGGACCATTGTCCCACTGTAGCAAAGCCACTT